CAACCATTTGTACAATGTTGAACCCCCACCACCTAGGAATGCTTCCAGTCAAATATGGTTGATATCCATGGCATAGTTCTACAGAAGAAGTCGTTTGTAGCAATATAGCCAAATTGCCCCCTTTTGGCCCCGCCCCTCAGCCCCCTGGGGGGTCAGCCCCACCATTTGTACAATTTTGATTCCCCACCACCTAGGGATGCTTCCAGTCAAATTTAGTTGAATTCCAATCAGTGGTTAAGAAGAAGAAATCGTTTAAAGAAATTGTTGACGTACGGACGACGGACGCAACGGTATGGCATAAGCTCACCTTGGTCCTTCGGACCAGGTGAGCTAAAAATGAAACAGAAGTTCAATTGACTAGAGATACCAATATGCTTCAAGTCTTTATACAAATAAATTAAACAAAAATACCAGACATGATATACCCAATAAATAGTGTTTGAAAAGACTTATTTTTTCAGGATTGTTTTTATAAGTTTTAAGTGTCAAGAAACAGGATAATATGATCCTCATTCTACACACTGAAATCATCACAAGATCAGACTTACTTTAATTAAATGATCAAATTTCCCTTTAACAACCTGAACTGCTAAGGACAAAGTGTGTCATTTAAAATAAACTTTGTGTATTTTGATACTGATAACAATACTGTTATTCCGAAACACTATACAAGCATGACCTCTTCAGAATCTGAGGAATCAAACTCGGCTCCTTCTTCACAAGCTCCTTCCTCCAGTGAACAATCGCTACTCATTTCATTTAGCTGGTGTATGTCTCCCCTCTGGAACACTGTCCCTGTTTCAGCAGCCTGTCTGTAGACTTCATCTAACTGTCCAAGATGATGCAATTGAATTGTATCTTCTTTAGAATAGTTGGCACTTTTGAATTTGTGTGGTGAATAATTTTTATTGTGTGCTCCTTTATTCACCAATGTACGGTCTTGTGTGTGGGTCGTTCTTCTGGATTTCCCTATAGCCACCAGATTAGTAGTTTTGGTTAAATGTTTTCCCCCATCGTTTACTCCTACACTGGTAGTGTGCTGGTGACCAGCTGGGTGGCATTTCCTTGGTGACTTATGACGATGAATGCTAGACTTGGCCACATTCTGTGACTCAGACTGTCCTGATAGATATAGATGATTGCTAGACTTGGCCACATTCTGTGACTCAGACTGTCCTGGTTGATATAGATGATTGCTAGACTTGGCCACATTCTGTGACTCAGACTGTCCTGGTTGATATAGATGATTGCTAGACTTGGCCACATTCTGAGACTCTGACTGTCCTGATTGATATACACGAGATTGAGAAACACTAGACTGCGAACTCTCTGTTTCCTCACTTTCCTCACTGTCCTTACTTTGTGAATTATAGTCCCCCGTCTTTGTTCTTCCAGTTCTATAATTTTCAGACTGTGTGATCTCATTGTGTATATAATGCTCAACAGCTCCATAACCCGACCTTCCTGTTCCTTCACAATCACCATCACTTTCACCAAATTCTCCGTCTGTGTCGTTCCTTCCCCTAACAGTATATCTATTTGAAGAGTTCTGCATTCCTATGTCATTTCTGTTGAGTGACCTACCTAAATCTACGGAACTGATACAGTCAGGATCCAAGTTATCAGACTGCTTTTGGCGTTTCATGTCAGTCCTAAGAAGACTAGCAGCTTTTCGTTTCTGTTTTTGTCCTTTCTTTTCTTCCCCATTGACAGGTTGTTGCATTTCTCCATTCATTATACTCATCTCTGTAGCCTGGCAGTTGGAATTGAAAAAAATAGCATTTTTTGATTCCGTACAAGACTTGTTTACAGACAGTTGTAATAATTTCTCCTCACTGATTTCCTCTTTCTGTTTCTCCTTCGATCTGGTTGTTTTTATACCCTGTGTTTGTTCCCGCTTTGACTGGCATGGTTCCTTCTCAACCAAGCTACCCTTCGTCCTATATTTTCTTGGTTCCTTCTTATCCAAGCTACCCTTTTTTCTATGTATGTTTGGTTTCTTATCCAGATCTTGGGAAGAGTTGTCTTCCGTGTCCATTTGCGAACACTTATTTCTTCCTTTCCTTCTGGTGTCGGAGACTAATTTTGAAAACTTTTGTTTTAACTTCTTCCCTCCAGAGGATACTTCTATGGTATTTCCTTCAGGCTGATTCGAGATATTTTTTTCTGGAGTGATTAAGAAAACATATGGATCTTCTCCTTTCCCATTAGTTCTCAATTTTTTGACTTGTTCGTTACTATGTTGAGTTGTAACTGGGGTCAGTCTTGATTTCGAAAGCACTTTGATTTTGGATTTGTTGGTTTTTCGAGGCTTCAATGCCTGTGTGAAATTAAGCTTTTTCTTTGCAACTTTTTTCACGGTTACTTTTGAATGCAGTACTTGCTTGCAGGAATCAGGTTCTAGCAACTCAGATTCTTGTGTTCTTGATGAGGTATGTGAGTGTGTTGCAGTGCTATCTGTTGCTGGTATGGCCACCTCTGCCTTGTTGTTAGCCCTTGTTACTATAGCAGATTCTGTGGATGCACTCATAGAGTATCTAGTTTCTGAGTCTGTCTCAACGCCATTATTTGATATATCATTTTGTGATGCTGTAATCCTGCATTCATTTCTCAAAATGTCACCATCTGAAAGTTTATCAGGAGTACCTTTATAACGAAGGTTAAATGTCTTTCTGTATTGTTTCTTACTGCCTGGTGTTTCTCCATCCATTTTACTTAGATTCTGGTCTCTTTTTCCATACTTGATCATTTCTTTGCGCTCCTTTTTCTCTAAGACGTTGTTACATGCTCTGTGACTTGCTCTGTTATGCTGGCAGTCATACATATCATCAGTATGTGTCCCACCTCTTCGTCTGCTACTAGATTCACACGTCACTTGGGTTTTCGAATGTTTGATTTCCTCGGCAGACACAGCTGGTAATTCTGAAGAAAAGTTTTGTGCATTTGCCGACTTCTGGATGATTGGTCTGTAGATAACATCAGTATTGTCCTCTTCAAATGCAGAATTTTGTCTTGAGGCAGAAACTCGAGCAGGTGAAGACTCGTACAAATGCGTCTTTTCCCAATGTTCTACTCTGCATCCTGAAAATCCTTCAGTTTTGAAAGATTTTTCTTCTTTTCCATTTGCGTTAGAAGATAAATGTGATGGAAATTTTGGATTCCTGTTAGTGTTATGTTCATAGTAATCTTGTCTCTTTTCAGAGTTGTTATAGGTTGGAAATCCCTTCAACGGCCTCACACAAGCTTCAGAAGCAGAATCAGAAGAAGCATATCCTGAATTCTGGTCTGTTTCAGTTCTAATAGCATCACGCTTCTCCTCATCAAATGAGTGGAAGTCATCCTCAGAAACAGATTCATACATCTTGGATGTAGACAAACAGTTTTCTGAAAATCTCATTTCTATGCTGCTACTCTTTTTTTCATCTCTAGGGGTTCTTTTGTCAACTTCAAACTTGAATTGTCTGTCCGATTCTTTTTCAGACAAGTCATGTTCTGCTCGATCCTGCTCCTCCCTTATAGCATTCATTAGAGAGGCAAGTTGTCTGGGATTCTGTGCTGGATGTCTGGGGCTCCTCTGATGACACTGTTTATATGAACTGGGTATGTCCGATTCAGTTTCCTGGGATAATGAGCTAGGTGATTGTGGTATATGTAATGATTTCTTTTTAATATATCCTGGAGACATTTCACAAAAAGTACCTTTCCGCTTTATGTTTCCATGAATATCTTGTCGTTTTGATTGCTTCATGTGATCACGTCTCCAATCCTGCGAGTCTGTATTTAACTCTGGGAGACAATCCACATATTTGTTTAAAAGTGACTTGTCACTTTTACCAATGACATGCTCCGCATCCCGGTTCAGAAAGTCTTGTGTTTCATTTAATACTGATACTGCAGTAGGTTTCTGGTACATATTGCATCTGACGGAGAAGTGTTCTTCTGACTTACTGTCAGGATATGTATCACTGTCTCCTTTCCTTGGAAACCATCCTGGACGAGGTCTGATTATTTCATACTTCTGATGATTTAAATGTTGCCTTTGTGTTTTGTTCTGAAGATGTGATCTTCCAGAAGATGAGCTATCAGACTCTATTACAAAGGTTTCGTTCATATCTGTGGACACAGAACCAGGCCTAGAAAGCCTTCTGTTTTTGTGGATATTTGGATGATTGCACTTTCTGTCACTGTCAGCATTCCTTGAAGTAGCTTGAACAATATGACCATTTGGAGTTACTTCCCTTCCTCTGTGATATCTCTTCAAAGGTGGAAGTTCATCCTCCCTTGTTAGAGTGTCATCCTCCATTGTTAACTGGAATTGATCACTTTCACCATCTGATATTTCAGACTGATTATCAGATTCCTGGTGAGTTTCCTCTCCTACCGGTCTATTTTTATCTTTTATGAACCGAAGTTTATTGCCTTCTGTCAGTGACCACTGTTCTTCCTTTACAGATGACGTATGCAGTGGACTTCTCTCCCCTTGTTTCCTCTCACCAGCAGAATGGCAACTTACACTTTTGTCTCTCCTCATTCTAATAGTAACCTCTCCATCCTTCCTGACCCTGAGAAGACTGGGTGAGCCAGGGATTGTTTCTACCCTCCCTGGCTTTGTCCCTACCTTTTCACGCAGGACTTGATTACACCTATCGTTAGGGGAATTTCCTATCAGTCTAGCTGACTCATGGTGATCATTGGCATCCCTTGACCTATGAACAGCAGATGATTCTTTCTTAGTTATCCCCCTTCTGTTTATGACAGAAGAATGCTTTTGATATCCTTCCCTCTGTCTTTGTCTTTCTGATGGCTGTGTGATCTCCCCTTGATATTTTTGTTCCTTTTGATCCCTTTGTACTGTTGTTTTGTCCCTTATTGTTGACTCCTCAGTGAGGATGGGGGACACATTTTGCTGCACATTCTTTTTCTGATCTCTCTGAATATGTGTGAATCCTCTTTGGATAGCATCTATTGAACTTCGATTCCTTGCACTATTTTGTTGTCGAGTTACTTCCCCTGCACATCTTTGTACTGTATCAAGTGACGGTTCCCTCTGTACTGGGACGACCTTGGCCACTCTGCCATGTTTGTTAGGAGTGTCCCCAGCCTGTGTAGGTGACTCGTCATCCTCCTCCTCTTTCAGTGTAGTTCCCAGACTCAGTATGTCATAAGTACTGGGCTGACTCCTTCGAATGTCTGGAGCGACTACAGGGCGATGTTTGTACTTGGCATCAGTGAGGTAAACTGCACAGTAGGAGGCGTCGCCATCTGTACAGAGAAAACATTTGTTATCACACAGGTTAACCAACTTAAAAATCTCAAACTTGTTTCATTTTTGATACTGTTATAGATGTTAACTGGTCTTGAAAACTACAGTGAATTCTTTGGTAAACAATACATTTGGCGTTATTAACCATTTCAGTTCCAATATAATCAGCAGAATGTAAAATGTATCTGCTTTACATAAATAACTTCCATTGTTTTCTTATAATATAATATAATAGTACTGGACGCAGGCATATGCCTATATATCCAGATCAGGTGTATCGTCAGACTCTAAGCTGACACCCCGACAGTTAATAAGTTCATTATTATCAATTTCATGGTTATAATAGCATTCTGGTTTTCCCCAGTGCTTATCCAGTCAGGCCTCAAACGTTTTTAGTGTTGGTGATGTGACGACGTGGTTTGGCAGTGAGTTCCAATGGTTGACTACTCTTTCTTTAAAGGCATACTTTCTTAAGTTTAATTTATAATAATTAATGAAATGTTTTGTCAATTTGGTTGAGCACAACAGAATGGTATGGGCACAATAGAAGTGTAATAATCCTTATTCAGACTTTGACAACCTGGTTTAATAGCTGAAATATCTGGAACACTTTTGTTGGCTGCTCCGAGTTTGACTTAATTTTGGCTTTTTGTTTATATTGTCAGCAAAGCTAACATTCACTTGATAATAAGTTTAACTGTTTGCTATCAGAAGTAGATAAGACTCTGTCATCATGTCTAGAAATAATGCATATTTTGTCTAGTTTTGAGAAGTAAACAGCAAATGACTCATGACTTCTTGTAGTGTCTATCTATTCACAATACTATGTCATATTGATGGTAATGTCCTTGAACGATCTTGACATATGATTGAGTGACCTGGTAATAGGGAAAGAATCTAAGTTTGAAGGTTGCCATATATTTCAGTTACATAGTCAAACTGATTTGACGTGTTGTCATGTACTTATTTTCAATGTATGGACTGTGACAACCAATTTTTAACGATTTCCAAGAGAAATATTAATGTTATTGACACCTGAAATTTGAAATCTTACACAAGGGCCTGAACTTATTACCAAGTACTAAAATCTCATGAACTTTTGGAGATAAGGATAGAACCATTGAAGTATAGAGCAGAAACCGTCGGCCCTTCCGATAAGGAACTGACCTGAAATGACCTGGATCTTTCACGTCAATGACTTGGCTCTTTCATAATAATGACCTGAAAAGTATAGGTGACTACTTCTAACCCAATCTTATATTAATGTGAAGGTTACCTTAGTGAAATTGAGGTTAGAAATAATAAAGTTAGGGAGCAGTCTGATTGAAGGAATTGACCTTGAATGATCGACATTTCATGAAATGACATGAAACAAATATTGGAGCCTACCTCTTACCCAATACTAGACTGCATGAAGATTGGTAATCATGAGTTTTGAAGTCACAGAGCAGAAACAAAACTGTTGACAGAGGGACAATTCAAGAACCAAACCAAATCTACCCTTGAAATATTGTCACAAATTTCCTAGCGAAACCTTGTGGAAATCTACCTTTTGAAATATCCTCCTGGGAAAAAAATTGAACTGCTATATTTTAGAAATTTTACTTTTTGACGTTGGTGGGTGAATTCTTTATAAGACAAGAGGCCCATCGGCCTTAACGGTCACCTGAGTCCTACAGTATTTATTATTGTTGTTGAAATATGAAGTGAAGATAATGAAGTCAATCATCCATACCAATTTGAATAAAAAATAGCTAAGTATAACGTTAAGTTTGTCAGGACCATGAGTTGATCATTCCTAGACTGAGTTTCAGTTAAATCGGCATATTAGAACTTGATTTTAAGTTTGTAATATTATTTTTTCAAATGGCCATATTGGATTTTTGTTTGACCCGAATAAAAAAGGGACACTTTGCCAGAACCAGTAGTCAATCATTCCTACCAAGTTTCAGTTAAATCTGTCCAGTGGAACTGACTTTAAGTTTGAAATATGGCGGCCGTGGCGGCTATATTGGATTTCTGATCGACCCGAAAAATAACAGCACTTTTTCAGGGAGATGTCAGTAACATTCCCATGAAGTATCAATGAAATCCCTTCAGTATTTCAGCTTAGGTTGAAAATGTAAAATGTTAAAGGACGACGACGGACGAACACGGATAGCAATAGATCACGTGAGCTAAAGCTCAGGTGACCTAAAAATTTATGCTCAAGTGAAAGTACAAAAAAAATAACTACCAAGGAAAAAACATACCAGACAGGGGACACTTACCTCCTGAGGAAGGGGGTAGAAGGTACCCAAAGGGGAACTCAGGAGCCAGGAAGGAATGCTTGGCTGCTTCAAATGGAGTCATCCGTTCATCTAAAGAAGAGCAAGGTAAAGCATTGCATTTAAAAACACTCCAGTGTTGTTCATTTTAATGATTGATAGTGCATTTCAGTTTAAACCAACTGACAAGAAAAAAAACATTCAAAGTGACAACTATTGTGAGAATAACTAAACGTTGCACAAACCAGCTCATACTTTAACAAGAGATCCCACAGGGATCCTGGCACCTGCCATTGTACCATCTTCATTGGTCATTCTATGTAAGATTTTTTTTTTTCCCTCTCATATTTCAGCCATCTTGGTTTTCTGATCAGTCCCAAAATTCAACAGCACAACCAAGGCCCTTGGGAATCCATATGAAATTTGAGAAAACCCTTGCAGAAATAGCACTAACAAACTTCTCAAACTTGTCGGCGCTTCCTTGGATAGTTACTCGGGAACATCTCAAAACCAGATTTTTGTTTTAGTTTTCCAATTAGTCCCAAAATTTGATATGGGGAACTTTTGCATGAAATTTTAGAAAAATTACTCAGTGATTTCCTGAGATAGTGCATACAAACCTCACCTCTCAAACTTTAAATTGGCGCACTGTCGGTCATTTTGATTTTCCGATCAGTCAGTCCCAAAATTCAATATGCCTAACCAAAGACCATAGGGAACGTTCATGTGCAATTTGAGAAGGATTTCTCTGGTACTTTCTGAGAAATAGCGCTAACAAATTTTACCTCTCAAAATTCAAGATGGTCACCTGCCAGGTATCTTGGTTTTCTGATCAGTCCCAAAGTTTGATATGTGATTAAGAACAATTGGAAACCTTTAAGTGAAATTTGAGAAAAGAAAGATCCCTCTGGTACTTTTTTGAGAAATAGCGCAAACCAGAAGTGTTAAAGGATGGAATGACAGATGGAGGATCACAGATGCAGGGTGATTTGAATATAGCCCACCATCAAAAATTGATCTAAAAAATTAACTTAAATCTTACCTGAAATGTATAACTTTCAACATATTTTTACCATTTCTCAGACCTTGGTTTTATTCTTATCTAAATGGATATTTCTGTCCATATCTCTATCTGTGAAAGTCAGTCAATTGTTCATTGAACAATTTTAGTTCAGAATTTTGCTTAATGTTTGACTCAAACCATATCTTAGAGTAGACCCTTGTCATTAGAAAATTTGGCCTACAACATCATAATATTTTATATGTTGTAACAGAGTCTAAAAGGTTGTGACATCTGTTGTTATGGGTGCACATCAAATGTCTACATCGTTCAAATTTTTGAAGTGTTGAGATAAAGCCTAAAAGGTTGTGACATGTGTTGTTATCAGACGTGTGAATCACCTTTGGGAACATATACAATGTACAGAGTTCCCTATATCAGTACTCAACGATATATAAAGATAAAGATCAATTTAGTTATCAGTAAACTACCTAACTGGGTTATTAATGAACGGCTTACCTAGAACAGCCTATCTGGATTACTGATGAAGTCATTACCTAGGTTATTACTATCTGTTTACTTGGGTTATTGATGAAGTCATTACCTAGGTTACTAATGAACTGTTTACTTGGGTTATTGATGAAGTCATTACCTAGGTTACTAATGAACTGTTTACTTTGGTTATTGATGAAGTCATTACCTAGGTTACTAATGAACTGTTTACTTGGGTTATTGATGAAGTCATTACCTAGATTACTAATGAACTGTTTACTTTGGTTATTGATGAAGTCATTACCTAGGTTACTAATGAACTGTTTACTTGGGTTATTGATGAAGTCATTACCTAGGTTACTAATGAACTGTTTACTTGGGTTATTGATGAAGTCATTACCTAGGTTACTAAT